GGATTCCCACAGCTTACAGGCAATAACATCAACAAATTGGCAAGAGTATAGTTTCAAATGCTTAGAACAATAACAGGCTTGAACAGCACTACAAACACCATTGCCTCTAAACAGGTAACTGTTGTGAAGTCAGCCTTCACTTACCTAATGTGTGCAGTCTTAATGATGTCTTCATGGATCTGCTGAACACTTCCAATACCACAGTTTCTTGATAACATTAATTTTTTACAGTTATCATGGGGTCCTGCCTTCTCAGGTTACTTTTGGAACAGTCCTGCAAGATGACATCTTGTGACTGGCACAGTTGCATAGCTCAGAGAGATGTAGTTGCCTACTGTTAAATGTCAGATTACCCCAGAATAAATTTGAGGAACAATGCTTTTTGTAATAGAGCTACTTAATTTTCATGCTGTTACTATTGCATTTGCACAGCAGTGTAACCTGCAATGACAGTGTATTATAAAGGAGCAAAGTTACGTTCTATTTGATGGATTAGTACACTTGCAGATTAAGGTTTCTGGCTAGGCTGGAAAGCAGATGTGCTTCCTAGCTCTGCAGTCAAGTAGAATAGGGCTGTTACCAGCACTAATACTGTGCCTGAAAGATGGCTTAGAAAGTATTAGAAGATGAAAAGGTACACTAGATCTACAGCTAATGTTTGAGCAGACTCAAATTACTTTTTTTTTTACTCTTAACAGCAAAGGCTTAACATGCCATAATTTGAACAGAAGCTTGACTTTAATAGCTCCTTAAAAAGCTGTGTGGCTTAGTGCTTTGGAAAGCGTCGACAGTGCTTGGGTTCAGTTGTTCTGGGCCAGCTCTTGTAACCTTTTTCACTTCCAGAAAGCAAGATTCTGATTCTGTCTTTGTCTCCACAGGAATCCACAGATGTGAAAGATGAACTGTAAGCTGCACTCAACTACCGTCCTGCATCGGGGGGTTAGGAGGGAATGTGAATTAGATTGTTTTGGTTTTTTCCACTGTAAAATGTTGAGGGATACTATGGGGTTTAAGGGTAAAGGAGGATTTTTTTTAAGTTCACTTTTCTAAAAAACATTCCTCATGAATGTAAATTTGTATTATTTAACTGACTTGGTGTAAAATCTTGTCATGTACAAAATAAAATGTTCCCAAACACCACTAACTCTAAATTTATGTGGTAAGCTCATCTTGTGGGGTAGCACAAAGAAATGAAGGGATAGTCTTGAGTGTTTAGGTCCTTTGTACAGCAGACAGTTGCAGTCCTTGTGCCTTTCCACAGCGCGGAGCATATGCCTGTGGTTGGGTGTTAACAGCCCTGCTGTGCTGTTTAGCCAAAATACGCCTGGCATCTCGGAGCTGTACTGGCTGACCTTGCTAGTTGACAGAAACATTCAAGAAGTTATCTGTTGACATCTTAAGATGAGACAGGGCATTTAAAAATGGCATTGGAACTGACGCCCTGCCAGCTTACACTGGACTACATGTGACTTGACTCCACTGTACAGAATAGGCAATAGTAACTTTTACAGCTGAGACAAGCAAAGAAAAATAATCTTTCCTTCCACTAAATATGTGAACAAAAACAACCAGAAATGGCTTGCTGCCTGTGAGCTTATACTGTCCCCCATGGTATTTGGTGACCCTGCCTTTGACTTGCATAGCTGCACCAGTCCTTTCTGCATTTTGTTTTTTTTTTTAAAGGTGGAAGCTCTTGTCTTACAGTTTCTCCTTAATGCTTAACTTTTTTGCTTTTGTTCTACATCTCTTTAGTATGGGAAAGCACTTGTAGATACTTAATCTAACTCCAGCTAAATCTGTTGACACCAAATGGTAATGTAGACAGGTTGAACTGGAGACATCACTTTCTATTCACTTACATTAGCTTCATGTAGTGTTTGAATGAGGCACTTGATTTTTCTCACTAGTGCCTCTACTTTGAAATGTCATCTTGGGGTTGGTAGGAGATGTTTACGCTGAAGTTTTTTTGCTGCCTTCCCCTGTGGAATTAGTGCATAGGAGTTGTACTTCTATGCAGTGACTCTACTTCAGAACCACTCTTCTGTTTTGTCAACAGAACTTTTATGAATTTTGAGGTTCTACAAGCTGAAGCAAAATAAATTTCTAATTAAGTGAGGGTACTAAACACTGACCTGAACAACTTGCTTTCCACTTACTTTTACTAGGCTGCTTCTATATTGCCCAAATACTGTTTCCATGCAATAAATACAAATGCCATGCATGTGTTCGGGTTTACAGAGAGATGTTGGCTTTATTGAACTATGCTCTTTGAGACCTCAAGGACTGGGAGCTCAGTTTTGGGTTTTTTTTGAGGGAGCTGGGGTCTGGTTTGGGTTTTGCTTGCTGTAATAGTACCTTAGATGCACTGTTAAGTCTTTTGTTACTGGAGTGTGCAGAGGTCTGACCCTAGAGCGCAGTTCAGCAGCCAGCAATACTGGCTCCAATAGCAGTCCTTTGTTGGCAAGTTACTGATGGGGGCAGGTGCCCCACTTCTTAAGCCATGATCCTCTCACTGGGCTAGTGCAAGTTCTGGGCTCTGTAGCAACCAACTGCTGCTGAGAGTTTTCATTTAATACTTCCTAAAATACTGCTTCTAATGAAGTGTATCATCAATACACACCCCTCTGAGCAGCAAACATGGCTTGGGCCTTCTGTATGGTTAAGAGTGCTTTTGTAGCTAACAAGTAAGAGTAGTATTGGAAGTGTAAGGTTGCTTGCTTACGGTATTCTTAATCTGTTAACTACTTGTAGACTTAAGCAACCTTTGCTCTGTTACATAGCTGAAGTTCTCAGTGCCTTGATTAGTTTTAAGATGCCATACCTGTTACAATTTCAGAAATAATAAAGAGCACACCTCAGTCATGCTTTATGCTGCTTCATCTTCCTTAGCTGAGGATATTGTGTGCAACATAGCTGTGGTCCAGCTGCTTCCTCTACCCTGGAGTGACAAGCGTTTGCTATTAGTAAGCACAGAATGAAGTTGTAAGCTTGCCTTTTGGGGGTTTTGGTTTTGTCAGATCTGTGAAGCAAAATAGTGTCAATGCTGGAACAAGCGTTTCCTAGTCCCGCTGAGGCTATTTCTTTCAGTGCTGCAGTCATGCTGATTCTGGGGGCGTCACCTCTGCTGTTAAAGCCTGGTGTACTGTCAGCCTTGCTGTTGTAGATGGGCACTGATAATAAGTACAGTTCCCTCAGTGCTAGAAAAGCCTGGGGTAAAACAGATGCTCTGTTTTGCTCAGTTTCCCCTAGCAGCAGCATATATTTAGAAATCCAAGCCAAATTTGCAGTAACTTTCCTCTGCAGCCTTCAGAAAATAGGGAAAAATGCATCTTTTGTGTCGCAAGTGAGCACATAACAGCAGAGGTGATGCTCTGACAACGTGTAACAGGGTAAGTGTTGGCAAGTCCTGGATCTTTAAAGGGATAACTGAAAAACTGCTGTTGCTGCCCTGGTCAGAACAGGGACAAAGTACTGCTGAACTGCCCCATCTTGTCTCTTCAATAAACTATGTTATGCTGGGGTAGAAGGTTGTCAATCTCAGCTTTCTTTAGGTACAGTGAAGGAAAAAGTAGTTTCACCAGAACTGGACCTAGTAAGATGTTCTCATTGATTGATTTGGGCTTCACATCTCAGATTTACTTGAGGCCTTTTTATACTGCTGTCATTGATAAAGGTGTCTGAGATACAGAGTCCGCGATCTATCAACACCAAGTACAGGCTGCTGCCTCAACATCCACATGGGCACGTAAGAGCAGGAGAGGATTTCGTCCCACCTCGGCTGCTGTTCTAGATCAGCCAATAGTTGCAAAAGTGCAAGAGCAGTAGCACATACACATGCAGAGGAACTAAAAAACAATTCCAGTTTATGTAAACTTATATAAAATAACAGCTTCACAGGTGAAACAGATGCAAAAGTAGCACTTTCAGTGATCATTTCTGGATCCCTCTGCTATTAAAAGAGCTCCAGGTACTTTGCCAGTAGGAATTAGGGAGCTTTTTTGTTTCCTTAACGGGTTATCTGTCAGATTGTAGGTTTCTTTCCCAAGTTAAGCCTGTGTGAGAATTGAGGATGAAGCCTGTGCCTTGTCCGAGTACCTTTCTCAAAAGAAAGCAATCTCCAATCTTTGCAAGCTCTGCTGCATACCATTCAAAAATAGGTTGTCGTACCGTCTTTGTGGGACATTGACATCATCTTCTCGAGTTCCTGGTGTGAGAGTTTTGTGGTGATTGCACTTCAGGACTGAAAGGTAAACCTGCACTTGTTATTTCAGAGTTTTGTATATGTACAGCTATCAAAATCAGCCATAAACAGAAGATCCCCAAAGGGAGTACAAACATACATCAATCATTCCAGTGTAATCTGTACGTACTTGCCCCATTTAAATGAATACAACCAAGTTGTAAGATCCTCCCCAGCCTTACAGTGGACCAAAGTACTTTTCCTGTCAGTACTACGGACAGAAAGCCACCATAACTGCTGTTACATTAGCCAGCATTAGGAGTCCAGTGCAAGAAGTGCTGCAATAAGGAATCTTTCTTGTATGTGCCATCAGTTACTGTACCAGCCTGTGGGTTAACGGCCAGTAAAACTGCGCTTAAAAAGGGGGGAAAATGCCAACAGGTAAGTGGGGTTCTACTACAGATGAACAGGTATGCTTCTTAAGGCTAGTAAGTGGCCACAAAAGCTTGATTTTTCAATATGCTTAACTTCCCATACTTGTTATTAGCTTAAAAGTTTCAAATTCCATCAGACTCGCCAATGTGAGTTTACATCTGTTATTCTGAAGGATGCTTACACTGCAATCAAGATTAGGAAATCGTAAGCATTTTGGCACACAACCAAACCACAGGATTCATCGTACATTTGTTTTTAATGCTGCCTGTAACTCTGCTTAAAGGAAAGAAAAAGTATTAAGAGAGTACAGTATTTCACATACGGATTTCTGCAGTTGAACAAATATTTTATCAGTTCTAGTTTTCACAAAATAAGTGAATTCTGGTCACTGTGAAGTCTCAACTTTGCTTGATCTTGCTTTTAGACCGAACAGTTCTGTTTTCAGTTCTCCAGGCTTAGGAGGTATTTCAGGTATACTCTGTTAAGAAGAGAGAAAGATGTCAGTATTGTGGCAGAAGAAATACTAAACATAAAACAGTAAATTAGGATACTTTGTAAGAGACAGCATTGTAGCTAAATTGTGATTCTATCATCCCCTTTTTTGAGCAGAGTAAAATTCTTACATGCCAAACATCCTAAAAATTAACCTATTACCTTTTTGTAATTTGACTTTTATTTCAAGGTAGCAAAATATGATCTGGAAAAAAAGGAGGAAAGAGGAAGAACAGACAGTTTGTTTAAAGGAACAAAGCTGCTTTTTGCCATTTAAGAAAGTAAGTTTGAGATGTCTGGTATTCCTTTAAAGCACTACACTTTCTCTTGGTGACAGAAAAAAAAAGTTCCACTGCTTCTACCTTTCTGTTTTAGAAATTAAGCACTGAAACCAGAGATGAAATTTAAAAAAAGGCAAGACACCAGATGACATTTTAAAAACCATACCTCCTCAACGTTCGTGCCAGTTTAAGGATCATTAAATCATTCCGAATAAATATGCCTATTTGCCTGTAATAAAGGCCACAGTAGAGACTATGTAAATACACAAATTTTTCTGCATCTATCAACTACTTAAGTCTCATTGCTTAAATTTTGACATGATAGCTCAAGCATGGTGGTTTTTTAACTTATTTCTGATTCCAATGTAGCACAGTGTTTTCAAAAACCAAAAAGTATACAAAAGCTGGAGAATGAGATAAAGCTGACAAGTTAGAAGACCTCCAAGAAACCAAATCAACCATTAATACCCCTGGCAGATGGTCTCGTTTGGAGCTTGGTTCTCTGCGACTGTAATTTTGATAGTCTCGACTCTCAGCCTGTCATTGTTTCCAACACAGTTTTTCCATTACTGGGGGATTATTTAAATCTAATATTGCCCCTTCTCACCACCTTTGCGCGCTCTTTTCAAAAACCCACTTCCCACAGTAGACGCCCCTTCTGGAGAAGGTCGCGTAGCCGCTTTATTTTCGGTACCGCATCACCGCTTTGAAGGCAGCTCCCAAAAGAAGGCCTCTCTACTCGGTGGCTCCTTCTTGAGAGGCCGGTCGCTTTTTGCAGTCAGGCCAGGGACCTCTCAACACAAAACGCCCACAGGAGACCCTCCGTCCCACACGCGCGCCCCCAGGCCCCGTAACGCAACCAGCACTTACCAGGTCAGGCCTGTAGTACCTGTGCACCACCTCGGCGCCGGCGAACATGGCCAGCATGCTGGCCCCCA